AAGTTGTTTATGGTCTTGTTGAACGGTATATAAATCAACAGTCGCATAAACATTTTTTTATTCCTTAAGAGGATATGCTAGAGGTAAGCTGTTTTACGTCTTTACTTAGTGTAGTATCAGTTATGGTTTTTGTATACCTAAATATTTGTATATGTAAGAACGATTTATATTAGAATTATTCCAGTCATCAGCAGTACGTACTTGAAAAAATCTGACAGTATGGCAGTGGGGTATCCTGTGTGGTACCGAAATTGTTTTCAAAATTAGTTATCGGAATAATTTGCCCTCTATCCCTTAGTGACCTAGTGAGGTGAAATGGGATTAAACATTATTAATAATGCTTTCAATATTATTGCACTTATATCGATGTGCATGCACGTGTGGCGCTTTTTAAAATGGATGCCCCGCTCAGACGCAGTTTACTGACTCCAAGCCGACCAGTCCTTGTTTAATCATCCCCTTATCGCAAGTATGGTGACAACAAGTCTTTCAATCTTTCAACGTATGTTGGTTGGATGGCCGGGTACCAAACCACCGACCTAGCACTCTCCGGGCAGACGCTCTATCCACTAGACCACGTAGGCGGTCCATTCCTTCCTGATGTTACAATCGCCAATCCCTAATAGAGAATAACACAGGGAGTTTGGCTATAGTCAAAGTCAACATCCGTTACTTCCGATTGTTCTTCCTGTCCCCTCTAGTTGTCTAAGTATACTGAGGACCAGAGGCTCGAGGTCTGCACTGTGGTCACATGTCTTGCAGTGCATGGGCTGTCATCACCCACTGACCACCATGTCAACACGGAGACCTTGTCTGTTCGCGGGTGAGTCGACCTCAGTTCGTACTGTCAGTTACGAAGTTTACGATAGCATAGGTTGTAACATTGGTTGTGTATCTCTTTGAGGATTCCGGTTTAGGCTAGGTCCTAAGGAACCTTTTTTTGCTTGAATATAATGAGAGGCGACTAACTGAATCGGGTGGTCATGCTCCCTGAGTTAGTTGATGCGTATCCCAATGGCGTTGATCGATGCTCATGATGTCAGTAACTGGATTGTCGGGTCCAGACCCAAATATGTAAAGACGCCGTCATATAGCTGGAATATCGCTGCGTGTTGCGTTAAACAACAAACAAAGAAAACTACTAAGATCAGCATACCCCTGCCATCGAGCACAGTAATATTGTGTGTTGTTTAACGCCAGATTATTCAAGCTACATGACGGCGGACTGTGAATACTCCAGTCTTGACCAGACAATCCAGCTTCATGAAACGGACTGTGAATAGTCCAGTCTTGACCGGACAATCCAGCTACATGACGGCGGACTGTGAATAGTCCAGTCTTGACCAGACAATCCAGCTTCATGAAACGGACTGTGAATAGTCCAGTCTTGACCAGACAATCCAGCTACATGACGGCGGACTGTGAGTAGTCCAGTCTTGACCAGACAATCCAGCTTCATGAAACGGACTGTGAATAGTCCAGTCTTGACCAGACAATCCAGCTACATGACGGTGGACTGTGAATAGTCCAGTCTTGACCAGACAATCCAGCTACATGAAACGGACTGTGAATAGTCCAGTCTTGACCAGACAATCCAGCTACATGACGGCGGACTGTGAATAGTCCAGTCTTGACCAGACAATCCAGCTACATGAAACGGACTGTGAATAGTCCAGTCTTGACCAGGCAATCCAGCTACATGACGGTGGACTGTGAATAGTCCAGTCTTGACCGGACAATCCAGCTACATGACGGCGGACTGTGAATACTCCAGTCTTGACCAGACAATCCAGCTACATGACGGCGGACTGTGAATAGTCCAGTCTTGACCAGACAATCCAGCGACATGACGGCGGACTGTGAATAGTCCAGTCTTGACCAGACAATCCAGCTACATGAAACGGACTGTGAATAGTCCAGTCTTGACCAGACAATCCAGCTACATGACGGCGGACTGTGAATAGTCCAGTCTTGACCAGACAATCCAGCTTCATGAAACGGACTGTGAATAGTCCAGTCTTGACCAGACAATCCAGCTACATGACGGCGGACTGTGAATAGTCCAGTCTTGACCAGACAATCCAGCTACATGACGGTGGACTGTGAATAGTCCAGTCTTGACCAGACAATCCAGCTACATGACGGCGGACTGTGAATAGTCCAGTCTTGACCAGACAATCCAGCTACATGACGGCGGACTGTGAATAGTCCAGTCTTGACCAGAAAATCCAGCTACATGACGGCGGACTGTGAATAGTCCAGTCTTGACCAGACAATCCAGCTACATGACGGCGGACTGTGAATAGTCCAGTCTTGACCAGACAATCCAGCTACATGACGGCGGACTGTGAATAGTCCAGTCTTGACCAGACAATCCAGCTACATGACGGTGGACTGTGAATAGTCCAGTCTTGACCAGACAATCCAGCTACATGACGGCGGACTGTGAATAGTCCAGTCTTGACCAGACAATCCAGCTACATGACGGCGGACTGTGAATAGTCCAGTCTTGACCGGACAATCCAGCTACATGACGGCGGACTGTGAATAGTCCAGTCTTGACCGGACAATCCAGCTACATGACGGCGGACTGTGAATAGTCCAGTCTTGACCAGACAATCCAGCTACATGACGGCGGACTGTGAATAGTCCAGTCTTGACCAGACAATCCAGCTACATGACGGCGGACTGTGAGTAGTCCAGTCTTGACCAGACAATCCAGCTACATGACGGTGGACTGTGAATAGTCCAGTCTTGACCAGACAATCCAGCTACATGACGGCGGACTGTGAATAGTCCAGTCTTGACCAGACAATCCAGCTACATGACGGCGGACTGTGAATAGTCCAGTCTTGACCAGACAATCCAGCTACATGACGGCGGACTGTGAGTAGTCCAGTCTTGACCAGACAATCCAGCTACATGACGGCGGACTGTGAATAGTCCAGTCTTGACCAGACAATCCAGCTACATGACGGCGGACTGTGAATAGTCCAGTCTTGACCAGACAATCCAGCTACATGACGGCGGACTGTGAGTTGTCCAGTCTTGACCAGACAATCCAGCTACATGACGGCGGACTGTGAATAGTCCAGTCTTGACCGGACAATCCAGCTACATGACGGCGGACTGTGAATAGTCCAGTCTTGACCAGACAATCCAGCTACATGACGGCGGACTGTGAATAGTCCAGTCTTGACCAGACAATCCAGCTACATGACGGCGGACTGTGAATAGTCCAGTCTTGACCAGACAATCCAGCGACATGACGGCGGACTGTGAATAGTCCAGTCTTGACCAGACAATCCAGCTACATGACGGCGGACTGTGAATAGTCCAGTCTTGACCAGACAATCCAGCTACATGACGGCGGACTGTGAATAGTCCAGTCTTGACCAGACAATCCAGCTTCTGAAACGGACTGTGAATAGTCCAGTCTTGACCAGACAATCCAGCTACATGACGGCGGACTGTGAATAGTCCAGTCTTGACCAGACAATCCAGCTACATGACGGCGGACTGTGAATAGTCCAGTCTTGACCAGACAATCCAGCTACATGAAACGGACTGTGAATAGTCCAGTCTTGATCAGACAATCCAGCTACATGACGGCGGACTGTGAATAGTCCAGTCTTGACCAGACAATCCAGCTACATGACGGTGGACTGTGAATAGTCCAGTCTTGACCAGACAATCCAGCTACATGACGGTGGACTGTGAATAGTCCAGTCTTGACCAGACAATCCAGCTACATGACGGTGGACTGTGAGTAGTCCAGTCTTGGCTGTGAACAACGATCCACGCCACGACAATCATTGCTTCTTCAAGGTCGCTTTTGACACGGATCTTCACGGGTCAGATCGAGGTAGTAATTCCTGTACAAAGTATTTGTCCCCTGCAGCTCTACATGGATTTGCTGACCTGATCATGAGGGGCGGTTGTTTATTCAGAAGAGCGGGCTGGTGTTTTATTTGCAGGATTAGATTTAATTGAAAAAAACCGGAGGAGACACAACAAACAAGTCAACTGTGTGCCTGTGGTGTACATCCTGTAGGACACAGAAGGCAGACATCTAGGGTACTTGAGTATGTCCTGTTTGTTACCTCAGGAAGACTCCCCTGAAGATCCGGGTTAGCATTAGTCTTCAGCAAGGCATGCTTGTCGTAATGGATCAACTAGTCGATATTCGGGTGGTGTGGTGTGTGTGTGTGTGTGCGTGCGTGCGTGCGTGCGTGCGTGCGTTCGTTCGTGCGTTCGTGTACATGTGTGTGTGTGCGTGTGCGCGCCGGGATTTTTGTATGGAGATTGGATATTTGTTCAGAAACCGCTGCAAAACGCTAAAAGCATCCTTCGTCAAAGTATCCGTTATGGTGTTTTTTTCAGTCTGAAGCACTATTTGTTTTCAATCCTCTTCTAGGACCATTTATTATAAAAAAAATCCCATAATAATATTGATGATACTGAACACGCCTCACACGGAGTTCTCAGCGCGTGTAAGGGAAATATCGCCTAGAACTTCACCTCTGCTCAAAAATGAACTTCAAGGCGGTAGTGTAGTTAAACTGTTCTGCAACCATTATGTACTTAATTAGAATTACTGTGTTTCCGTCTACGTAACTATGCAACTATCAGATCAAAATGTTTTCACTTTCAATGTACAAGAACTATCACTTTTATGAACTTTCTTCCTCCTTTGTCTAAATGATGCATACACTATTTGGAAATACACCCACTTATCTCTTAATAGGTCATGCTACTTAGAAATGTAATACTCTGACTTGATAGCATGAGGAAGAAGACTGAGGTTACAAGTGTAATGGATTATGTAAATGATGAAAAACTTAGAACTATTACGTAAATGATTTTTAAAAATGTGTGTGTGTGTGTGTGTGTGTGTGTGTGTGTGTGTGTGTGTGTGTGTGTGTGTGTGTGTGTGTGTGTGTGTGTGTGTGTGTGTGTGCGTGTGTATCTTATCCTTGCTTATCTGTTGAAATATGTTATTACAGATAAAAGTAAAGTGACTCATCTAAGATTCATTGTTAAGTTTATTTATTTATAATGATTATGACATCATCCTTGAAGCTTCGTGACTTGGTACACAATGCAAGTGCACATTTAATCACGTGACCGGAATTCTATTCTCGAGTGATAAGCATCGAAAAGGACACATCTGCTGCACTTATCCAAGCCGTTCCGAGGAGAGCGCCCGTATGTCGAGTCCAACCTCGCCCTGTGTCCCTTGACAGACGTTTACCCAAAGCGGTCGAACAGTTCAGTTATGACACTGAGATATCCTGTTTGTTTGGTTAGGACATCGTCGGTATGATGAGTGTGGGGACAGATCAGCGCCATGCACGGCAACAAGTGGACAGAATTAGTATAACACTGGTCTCTTTCCAAGTCGCGTGTCCTTGTGCCCATCATTCACAGGTATGACTCATAATGCTATTGACACTTTGTCCTGAAATTGTATATAATGATTTAGATGGTTTTGGAACGAAATGTTATGTGACGGATAGATGGTTTATTTTGAGTAATACTATGATTAAATTATGTCCATTTGTTATCTAATAGAGGTATTGATAAATGATAAATGAGATTAGGCATTGAAAACAATGTCAGTAGGCAAAGCGCGCTGAAGCTGTTTGTTGTCATGGTTTTCATATATGGCCGTACTCTCTCTTGTCTGGGGTCTGATACGCTTGAACCGAAGTGAGGCATGTTTGAATGCAAGAACACAGTTGTAGAATGAGGTCGAGGTGTAAGTGAGGTTTAAGTAGAAACTGAGTGTGTCAATCTTTACAGGTTGAGACGGGCAGTGAACATGGGCAGAGGTTAAGGTGTAGATCGAGGTTTGCGAGATGGTGCGTTGTACTGTGAGGTTAGTAGAGGCTGGTGTAGAGGCATGAGGCTGAGGCGTGGGGTGAATTAAATTTGAGATGTAGAATGAGGTTGAGGGGTTAGAATGAGGTGTATGGTTGGGCGTAGGGTGGTATTAGGGTGACGTTAGGTGGAGGCTTCTCTATAAAGTGAAGCTAATGGGTCGGAGAAGGTTGGTGTGCAGAGACAGACCGAGGTGTAAGATAAGACTTAATGTGGAATGAGTTTGGTGATTAGCTATAAGCTGAAGTTGTCATGTAAAATGAGGTTGAGGTGAAGGATGTGATTGATGTGTGCGATCAAGTTAATGTGTAAGATCAAGATGGTATGTGAAATTATTATTATTATGTACAGATTAAAATATAAAATGCAGCAAAGAGGGTTTTGGGAGACCCTGGCACAGTCAGGCTGGTTAGGCTCATCATCAGCTTAGGGCCCTTGCCCCCTCTACACGCAGCCCAGACAGCGAATGGGTCTTCTCCCAGGAAGCGCTGCCTTTTCGAACCCACCCAGAACTCTTAGGAGAATGTGAAGACTCCCAACACTGCATCATTACCCATTGTCATCAACCAGGGTCCTCCCCTAATGCCAGTCAACAAATTAGGAGGTAACAAACCTAAGGCACCGAGAATAACTTCGTATTTTGGGTGCAAGCGTGACATTTCGAAGGTCAGGCCCGCAGATTTGCCATGTTTGTCCTGAATATTGTCAATCACATTTTTGTCAAATGGGACAGAAAATTAATTGGTACGGTTTGACTTACTGACTGTCGATCAGTTCACATCATATCAAGTGCACAAGATGACACTCTATTTTCCACTCGTGTTGGTATTTGTTGCTATCATCCAAATTTGGAGGGACGGTGGGGTAGCCTAGTGGTTAATGCATTCGCTCGTCACGCCGAAGGCCATGGTTCGATTTCCCACATGGTTAAAATGTGTGAAGCCCATTTCTGGTGTTCCCTGTCGTGATATTACTGGAATATTGCCCAAAGCGGCGAAAATGAATACTCACTCACTCACTCCAAATTTGGAACCGGAACGTGTATCGATATAATATTATGTTATCAGCGATAAGGATATACTTTTGTGCGCCTGCCCTATACCTGAATGTACTGAATCAACTCTGGCAAACTAAATCTATTTCAAGCGTCTTGACTTGTAGGTTGTCAGTGCCCTTCCTTTTCATGGACACTGTTTCAGTTGCTTCTTTCCTTATGAACCACCGTGCTGAGGGACTGTTACTTGTACTGACAGATACATACAGATTATCAACCGTGTGTGTTTCCGTAGCGTTAATATCATGTATTAGGAATATAGACTGGTTATTCTCTGACATTGGCGTTGACATTTTACGTTCGCTCAATTAATTTACTGCCCAATTCATCATATATTACTAAATGATTTACAGATATTTTTGCCTACAGAAAAACGGCGACACATTTGGAATCTAAGCATATTTGGAACAGTTTATAGACAAGGCAGTGCGTCCATGTATGGAACTTGAGTGAGTGAGTGAGTGAGTTGGGTTTAACGCCGCTTTTAACAGTATTCCAGTTATATCGCGGCGTGTCAGCTTAATGTAGGAAGAAAGCATGAAGTGATGTAGGTCTCAGATGTTTACCACTTCGGTGAAACCCACGAGCACGGTGCTGACAAACCTAGAAACATAATAGGGGCGAACCGGGATTGGAACCCACAATCATAGGTTTCTGGTGTGTCCAAGGGACGCAACTCTGCACAGCGAATCGCGGCGCCTTAGACGACTGGGCCACCCGTGCCCCCCATGTATGGAACTTGAAAGTAGTATCGGATCGTGATTGCTTTATCGCGTCTATTTCTGTTCTAAGCAACAAACGGTGCTACTCGTTCCAAGACAAGGTTGGGTAGCCTAGTGGTTAAAGCATTGTCTCGTCACGCCGAGACCCGGGTTTGATTCCCCACATAATGTACCATGTGGTAACCCATTTACGGTGTCCACCGCTGTGATATTGATGGAATATTGCTAAAGCGGCGTAAAATCCAACTCACACACTTACTTTTTTAACCGTGGACAAGACTGTGTGTCGCTATAACAACTTGTTTCTGTACTTCGTGTACTGAAATCCAAATCGGTGGCCCGTATCTGATGTCCCCCGCCGTGATAATGCGGGAATATAGCTGGAATATTGCTGAAAGCGGCGTAAAAAACAACACTCACTTAGTCACTCATTCACCCATCTGGCGTCCACAAGAAGACTTAACTCAGTGATGACTGAACAATTAGCTATTTGTGGATGCCTTAATGCGAGAAGTGAAGGCTGAGGCGGTATGAATCCGATAAGTGGGGATTATGTTCATTGAAAAAGTTATATCGCAGTATCCAACGCTGGGACAATAGCTTCTGTTTCTGAACCATATTCGAAAAAGCGCATCGTACAATTTCGCAGTCATCTGTCACATCACATACATTTTCAGTAACATGGGGTTTCAACTACCCAAATATTTGCCTGTCGGTGTTGAACTGACAGATGTGATGGCGTCGAGGATTTTTTCTTTATTGTTTGAGTACAAGGCTGTACAGCATAGCGTGTAAGTGTTGGGTTCAATGTGCTGCACCGTTAGCGTCCCTGCTCACTTCTCGGTGTGAGCTAACAGTACATTTCGGCATTAATGTCATATCATATGCATCACCGTCAAGCGAATAGGGCGCAGGATCATTCCGCTGTCTGGGCGCCATGAGGGAAGTGAGTGAGTGGGTATGGTTTTACGCCGCTTTTACCAATATTCCGGAGGGTTTATTAATACAACGATTATGATATTATTATTCAAACAAACTATTTATGATATCAAATACTGATATTAACAGTTGGTATAATAAAATATGTATAATATATAACTAAACTTCCACAACTACTACTTATAATTTTACTGTTAATGATATTGATATTGACTTTCAAAGATAATGATTATGATCTCGAGGAGGATGTAGATGATCATGCCGAGAAGTATTTAGATAAAACTGAAGTAATTAATTTGTATCCATTAAGTTTAAATTTTCATAATTGACACATATATGATTTTTATTATTCATATAATTCATGCGATTCTTAAACACATGTTTTTAATATAGTTGGAATCTTACAATGGACCCTTTAGCAGATCTCTTTAGGATTATAGAAAGGGCTTTTTCGCTTTATTTACCGTTAAAGAAAGAAATCGCATTACAGACTGACATTAATATTGAATGGCTCTCTAGTAAAACCCGTCCGTCGTTCATGTTTGACTCTGGTAGATTGTATTTAACTCACGGAAATGACATGGATCTCCACATGATGTTATTACTCATAAACCTACACCACGCGTCTCATCGGACAATAGACTCGTGATATAAATATACAGTGAAACATCTTTAAATTGCTCTCCACTGTTTCGCAGCCCCAAATATGGAATACGATTTGATGTTTTTGGGGAGGTTTTTGTCGGTGATGAAAAACCAAAGTGCAGACCTTCATTTACACATTTCCCAAAAACATTTCTTAGGTTTGTTTAACTTTACATTTATTTCGATAAGCCCTCATAAGGTTTTGGAAAAAATAAAGGAAAGTATCCTCGTCATGAGTGAGTGAGTGAGTGAGTGAGTGAGTGAGTGAGTGAGTGAGTGAGTTTTCGTCGCAGTTTATCCAGCAATATCTCGTTGGACAGCAAGAATAAGAAATGTCATTTGTGTTTTTGAAAGTACTCGTTACACACTCAAATTTTGTCAAAAGACTGACAAATTATTCATTCCTGATACGACTCATGACATGTGGGGGGAAGCATGGATGTGACCTACATATTAATACTCATAACATACGCAGCAGCCCAATTTTACATCCGCGTCATCGTTCGCATTAAACATTCTTCACATTATGTAAACATAACATAAAATCAACAAGGCAATATGTGCCATGACAGCCTGTTTATTTCTATTCTCACTGAAAATCCCCCGTGTGCTGAGTCTGCTGACCGTGCGTGCAGAGGTGGCAGTTCACAGTGACGCTTTCGCTCGGGTTACATTTCACAATTCTTTCCATTGCGTGATTCTGTCCTTGTAACTAGCTGCCAGGCTTCACCCTCTCTTAACGAGCATCCTCCGCATAGAAACTTCCCCGCGATAAGCTCCCTGCGTCCGCTGTATCTCACGTCCTGGTATTCAACAGGCGTCAGTGGAGGCCCAATAAGGAAATAAGCTCAACAGTCTAACCTCATTGACTGAGGACCGCAATAAATGAGCTGACTTGACGACGAGGCAGCCCCGTGTCTGAGGTGTGACATCATGATCATGAACCTTTGGTCTTTGTGAGCTCACCGAATGAAATCCTCGAGACAGGAATTCGGTTATTTTTGTCGGCGCGTACAGTTCTCTTTTGTCTCGAAACTTTTGCATAATCATCATCTTTTATTGTTGAAGATGACGGAGGCTGTTTTCACTTATCATTAATAAGATGTTTACCTGGTTGTCTGTAGGTGCCGACGGCAGGATAATCAGAGGTCCTCGAACGAGGAATAGTCACCGATCATCGCCTGACCGGACCCACGTTGAAGGTAAGCGGTCATATACCATCAGGTATGCCACCTGCGCAATAGCGCAACATCATTTTTCGGTCAAAACGTTGAAAGATTTGTTGATCTACATGTACATTTGCCAGTTTCTCATATATATGACAGGGTATTCATAAGAGTGTATGTAACATAATTGCGGATATTGTATTCGGGTTATATTTGGAAGAAAGGTATCACCATAGATCACACACACACACTCACACACACACACACACTAACACACACACACACACACACACACACACACACACACACAGATATATATATATATTATACCCACTAATCGGATAATAAAGTCTATTCGAGTTTTCAGAACTATTTACTTTATGAATTCTACACGGCTTTTTTATATTTAACTTAATGCAAAAACTTGACATAGTAAATATGTTATAATCATTCTGTCAGTGGTCTATTATCACCTGCTTATCTTGCCTTGTCCTTTGTTACGGTATGAGTTCTAGTACGTGGCAATATATGAAATCTTATTAATGAGATACCCCTAATGCCCGCTGTTTCAGGCAAGAAAGACATGACAACACCAATTATCCCGCTTCTTCCATTTAACCCACCAAACTATGGTAAGTACAGTGAGCAGTAGGTTAAGTATATTTCTACTGCGCCATTTGACTTCACCCTGTGAAACACCGATGTATTAAAATAACGCGACACTCCACAGTCGTTAGAAACATCGAACAGACAGTCAGACTGCGTGTTCATTATTATAAATTATTCATAAATTATGAATGGCGAGTAAGTGATTGAGTTGTGTTAAAGCCACATTTAACGTAAGAGGCGACTAACGGGATCGGATGGTCAGGCTCGCTGACTTGGTTGATGCATGTCATCAATCCCTATTGTGTGGATCGATGTTCATGATATTAATCTCTGGATTGTCTGGTCCACACTCGATTATTTACAGACCGCCGTCATATAGCTGGAATATTGCTGAGTGCGGCGTTAAACAACAAACCAACCAACCAACCAATCAACCACTTTTAGCAATATCATGAAGGAGGACATAGGATGGGGCTTCACACATTGTACCATGGGAAGAATCAAACCCAGTCCTTCGGTGAGACGAGAGAACGCGTTAAACCCTAGTCTACCCTATGTCCCCCCTTAATTATTATGGTGTAGGCTACAGATATTATGATTGACCAATACCACTGCACTTTATTCACAGACATGCAGCCAAGACAGTCAATGACGGTACCCCGCGTTACCATGACGACAGCTATCACTGTGGGCTGCATCATCACTTCTTGCATCTTAATAGCAGTGCTTGTGGCCGCCATACTCAAACAAAAACGATCCAGAATGCAGTAAGTAATACGGAATAGTATGGAACCTCAAATCTATCAATTCAGTGGTTGGTAGTATGACCACCGACGCAGGCCACGTCAACGACGACACACAATAAGCCAGGCACATATTGTTTCCGCCCGATCCTCGTTTTAGTAACTTTGTTCTGGGCGCCTATCATTGTTATTATTATTTTTATCTTTATTATTATAAAACGATATTATAACGTAAAAACACTATTTATAATATCAAATAATCGTTTTTACATTAAATTTTTTTTGGTATGAACATGACATATGAATAACATTATGACCATATTAAGAACACTGATACTTATAGTCTAATATTCCTGATATTGATATGGACTCCCAAAGATCATCATCATGACTTTAAGGATGGTGTAGATAATTAAAGTGAGATATATTTTAGTTTTTTAGTTTAGTTCTTTTTTCCATAATCTCTATTTAAGTATATCTCTCAATACCTAACATGTATTTCCTAGCCCATTGAAAGATTTGTTTCAGAAAAGATTACTATTTACTAATATCAAATATACACAGGTTGTGAATACTATTATTAATTTTATTTGCGAATCCCTTGCTAGGAGGAAGGGTAAAGATTCCCCTACCAAGGGAGACAACCCCGCTGGTAACACAGAGAAGCCATTGGTCGACGCCGACATCTACTCTGAGATCGAACCTAAAGTGAGTTGTGGTGTAACTACAAAATGTTATCTCCACTCAAGTTAATCGATACAAATGTGCTCTTCATTAACACTCAGAGAATCAAACATAGTATTCATGAACACTACTAATGCTTCAGAGTAAATGCGTGGCTTAGGCAAAATGTCAATATTCCTTGTGGCTGTATTAAAAATGTTTACTGTGTATATACATTGTGTAGACCTGTGACTATTATATATACACCCATGTCAGGGCGGATTCTATAACCAATGCTAAATATTTTTATCATAATCTTGAAGGGGTTTTCTTTCACGTAAAACAGAGCATGTTCCCAAAGAGGAAACATGCCTGATTTGTGCAATGATTGATAAAGAAATATGGTTCAGTACTGTAAGATAACTTAACAAAACAATTATTTATCACAGGGTTCGTCTTGCTGTTTCTGCTTTTGTAAGACGTCGACGTATTCCATGTCGCCGAACGACACCGCTGACAACATATATGCTGAAGTTCAGGACGTGAAACCCTACCCAACCCCAGGCCCGGCGAAGGAAGTCATATACGAAACACTTGATGGCAAGGAATGGTCAAGATCAAGACAAAATTCGGACACGTCCAGGGAAGAATCTAAAGCTGCGCCCTTCATCTATGATCATTTGAGTTTCCAGGAACTAGAGAGACTGAACAGGGAAAATGGGGATTTGGATACTGAAAAGAAAACATTGAAGAAAGTTGATGCTGATCAACCGTCCTGTGGGTATGACCGTTTGGACAGAAGTCCTCAGAACTTGTCAGCATCAGATGGTCTGGACAATCCGGACGGTAACAATAACAGCTTGGTCCGACGTCTCAGTCAGCGACAGATTCTAAAGAAACTCTTCGCAGTCGACATAGAAGGCATACAACGCAGTAGACTTTCACCAACGAACAGTCAGGCTTCTTCCAACAAAGATTCAGCTTCTCAACCTACAGGTTTCGTACCAGCAGTTGGGCACGAGTACTTTGTCCTGGAAGATGTCTGCGAACTCCGCAACGACCGACGTCCCAAGCCTCCCGTCCCTATCCGGACGTGCTCCCTCAGGTCCTCTCTACACGGGGACAGGTGCGTCAGCATACCGCGAGGGCGTGGCCACGGGGGCGTGGACAATGGAAGAAGGGTCAGGTCCTTTCCAGAACGCCAGGGCTGCTTTCGTTCAAATGAAACCCCTGATACAATCAGTGTCGTTTCTTCAGAAGCTGTGTATAATATTTCAAGTGGACATGCTCTGAGATTCAGCTCCCACTCCCGTCCTATAGAAGCTGATGTTAGTTTGAGGAGTCCAAGAAATGATTACTTTGTGCTGGAGCCTACATTTACAAATTGTTCTTCGTCTTCCCGGAGCTTTGCTTCTCAAAGTGACAGCCAGTCCGATGACCGGGATAACGTCTCGACAGCATCTCGCCATCTACCCAGAAATGACTATTTTGTGCTGGAGTCTGAAACGGAACAAACAGTTTCAAGAGGAACGACATTTCGTATTGTGGAAGGAGATGCATCCGCTGGGGACGTTGTTCGTCGTCCCTGTAGCCAAACAGGACACGGTGCAGTGCAGGGGCAGAGGGACAGCTACGGCGTAACCGTTGTCAGGTTACTTGATTCCGGAAATGACGACACGTCTCGTGACAGTGAGGAAAGCTTATACGACAGGCTTCGATTTAAATCTGTATCCCACAAAACGAAAAAGGAGTATCGACCAAGATTATTATCAACTCCAAACAACATTGAGTTTTGATTGAAATACTCCAGGCTCCTGATACTGGGATGATTTTAGTAATCTTCTAACACCTCAAAATCAGCGAGTTACAATTAACTTTTACCGTGGTCATCAGGCCCCGTCTCTTCGTAACACGAGCCACAGGCTACGCCATAAGTTGTGCCCAGCTTTACAATAACTAAAGTTGAATCCCCGAGTCAAGTAGCTTTGTATTATACGCATACATATTTAGATATCACTATTCAAAAATGATGTCAATGCCACCATATATGCCAATCCTAATATATTTGTAAATAAATGCAAGACAATAGCGTTAAATTTACCCCTTGACCTACATGTTTACCTTTGACCTTTTAGTCCTCGGGAGATCTGAAATCTGAGTATATGATAACCATATAAGGTCAAAACAAATATGGAATCTGTCATGAAACCCTAAGGTGACACTACCCACTGAACGCCGACGATAGTTGAAGTGACATTTGGTTCATGAGTTAAACGATTATATTCAGCCACAATCCCATTGCTCGTTTCACATTTAATAATGCCTCGACATCTTGACCCTTTTAGCGTACACCTGGTGTTATCCGCAATCGTTAGTGATCCATTTATAGAGAATTTTCATCGCAGTTTCGCCCAATGGAATCTGATTCCAGACTGGTTATTCTCTGGCGTTGAGTGAGTGAGTGAGTTTGGTTTAACGCCGCTTTTAACAGTATTCCAGTTATATCACGGCGTGTCAGCTTAATGTTGGAGGAAAGCCCGAAGTGATGCAGGTCTCAGACATTTACCCCTTCGGTGAAACCCACGAGCACGGGTATGGTGCTGTCAAACCTAGAAATAAAATCGGGGCGAACCGGGATTCGAACCCACAATCATAGGTTTCTGGCGTGCCCAAGGGACACAGCGAATCGCGGCGCCTTAGACGACTGGGCCACCCGTTCCCCCCTTCTCTGGCGTTGACGTTTTTCGTTTAGCACTGACGTTTGTAGGCATAGTGCTGTTGTCGGCAAATGTGCCTACTTATGGATCTGCAAGCTAATCAAAGGTCACGGAACCAGACTGATTTCAAAAGTGGCGTAGATTTGAGGTTTACTTTTCCCACTTGTCCCAATAATCGTATGTTTACGTGCGTTTTGTTGTTTTGTTTGAGATAATTAATTTATAACTGCTTAAAGAAATACTCACTATATTTCAGTACACTCTTTTATTAGAATTTAAAGTTGCCTAACTCTTACCTCGTAGGCCAGCCAAGAGGGATGTGCCCAAAATAGATCACTGGTATTGCAACCATCGCTCTTCCTGATTATCTACCATTGTTGTTCATTCATCCATTTGTTTGTTTGTTTGTTGTTTAACGCCGCACTCAGCAATAGTCCAGTTATATGACGGCGGTCTGTAAATAATCGAATCTGGACGAGACAATCCAGTGATTGATATCATTAGCATCGATCCACGCAGTTCGGATCGATGACATGCATCAAACTAAGTCAGCGAGTCTGACCACCCGATCCCGTTAGTCGCCTCTTACGACAAGCATAGCCGCCTTTTACGGCAAGCATGAGTTGCTGAAGACCTTTTCTGCCCTGGATCCGTTCATTCATCCATCTTACAGAGCTATTCCTATTGTTCTTCTTTGTCACAATAAATTATTTTTCACAAAAGATCATAATTCTTTTTCATTGTCTCCTTGTGCAATCAGTTAATCGAGCATGTCTGTGTACCTCTACATGAGTACCTGTACACGGATATCTGTGTACATAAATAGCTGTGTACTCGAGGAGCTGTGTACATCCATAACTGCGTCCATTTATAGATGAGTACATGAACAGTCGCGTACATGAAGACATGTGTACATGAATAGTTGTCTATATGAATAGTTGTGTACACGAATAGATGTGCGCATGATCAGTCGTGTACATGAAGAGATGTGTACATGAATAGTTGTCTACATGAATAGTTGTGTACATGAAGAGATGTGTATATGAATAGTTGTCTATATGAATAGTTGTGTATACGAATAGATGTGTACATGAATAGTTGTCTATATGAATAGTTGTGTACAAGAATAGATGTGTACATGATCAGTCGTGTACATGAAGAGATGTGTACATGAATAGTTGTCTACATGAACAGTCGTGTACATGAAGAGATGTGTACATGAATAGTTGTCTATATGATCAGTCGTGTACATGAAGAGATGTGTACATGAATAGTTGTCTATATGAATAGTCGTGTACACGAAGAGATGTGTACATGAATAGTTGTCTATATGAATAGTTGTGTACACGAATAGATGTGTACATGAATAGTTGTCTATATGAATAGTTGTGTACATGAAGAGATGTGTACATGAATAGTTGTCTATATGAATAGTTGTGTACATAAATAGATGTGTACATGATCAGTCGTGTACATGAAGAGATGTGTACATGAATAGTTGTCTACATGAACAGTCGTGTACATGAAGAGATGTGTACATGAATAGTTGTCTACATGATCAGTCGTGTACATGAATAGATGTGTACATGAATAGTTGTCTACATGAACAGTCGTGTACATGAAGAGATGTGTAAATGAATAGTTGTCTACATGATCAGTCGTGTACATGAAGAGATGTGTACATGAATAGTTGTCTACATGATCAGTCGTGTACATGAAGAGATGTGTACATGAATAGTTGTCTACATGATCAGTCGTGTACACGAAGAGATGTGTACATGAATAGTTGTCTACATGAACAGTCGTGTACATGAAGAGATGTGTAAATGAATAGTTGTCTACATGATCAGTCGTGTACATGAAGAGATGTGTACATGAATAGTTGTCTACATGAACAGTCGTGTACACGAAGAGATGTGTACATGAATAGTTGTCTATATGAATAGTTGTGTACACGAATAGATGTGTACATGAATAGTTGTCTATATGAATAGTTGTGTACATGAAGAGATGTGTACATGAATAGTTGTCTACATGATCAGTCGTGTACATGAAGAGATGTGTACATGAATAGTTGTCTATATGAATAGTCGTGTACATGAAGAGATGTGTAAATGAATAGTTGTCTACATGATCAGTCGTGTACATGAAGAGATGTGTACATGAATAGTTGTCTACATGAACAGTCGTGTACACGAAGAGATGTGTACATGAATAGTTGTCTATATGAATAGTTGTGTACACGAATAGATGTGTACATGAATAGTTGTCTATATGAATAGTTGTGTACATGAAGAGATGTGTACATGAATAGTTGTCTACATGATCAGTCGTGTACATGAAGAGATGTGTACATGAATAGTTGTCTACATGAACAGTCGTGTACACGAAGAGATGTGGACATGAATAGTTGTCTATATGAATAGTTGTGTACACGAATAGATGTGTACATGAATAGTTGTCTATATGAATAGTTGTGTACATGAAGAGATGTGTACATGAATAGTTGTCTATATGAATAGTTGTGTACATGAAGAGATGTGTACATGAATAGTTGTCTATATGAATAGTTGTGTACATGAAGAGATGTGTACATGAATAATTGTCTATATGAATAGTTGTCTTCATGAACAGTCGTGTACATGAAGAGATGTGTACATGAATAGTTGTCTACATGATCAGTCGTGTACATGAATAGATGTGTACATGAATAGTTGTCTACATGAACAGTCGTGTACATGAAGAGATGTGTAAATGAATAGTTGTCTACATGATCAGTCGTGTACATGAAGAGATGTGTACATGAATAGTTGTCTACATGATCAGTCGTGTACATGAAGAGATGTGTACATGAATAGTTGTCTACATGATCAGTCGTGTACACGAAGAGATGTGTACATGAATAGTTGTCTACATGAACAGTCGTGTACATGAAGAGATGTGTAAATGAATAGTTGTCTACATGATCAGTCGTGTACACGAAGAGATGTGTACATGAATAGTTGTCTACATGAACAGTCGTGTACATGAAGAGATGTGTAAATGAATAGTTGTCTACATGATCAGTCGTGTACACGAAGAGATGTGTACATGAATAGTTGTCTATATGATCAGTCGTGTACATGAAGAGATGTGTAAATGAATAGTTGTCTACATGATCAGTCGTGTACATGAAGAGATGTGTACATGAATAGTTGTCTACATGAACAGTCGTGTACACGAAGAGATGTGTACATGAATAGTTGTCTATATGAATAGTTGTGTACACGAATAGATGTGTACATGAATAGTTGTCTATATGAATAGTTGTGTACATGAAGAGATGTGTACATGAATAGTTGTCTACATGATCAGTCGTGTACATGAAGAGATGTGGACATGAATAGTTGTCTATATGAATAGTTGTGTACACGAATAGATGTGTACATGAATAGTTGTCTATATGAATAGTTGTGTACATGAAGAGATGTGTACATGAATAGTTGTCTATATGAATAGTTGTGTACATGAAGAGATGTGTACATGAATAGTTGTCTATATGAATAGTTGTGTACATGAAGAGATGTGTACATGAATAATTGTCTATATGAATAGTTGTCTTCATGAACAGTCGTGTACATGAAGAGATGTGTACATGAATAGTTGTCTACATGATCAGTCGTGTACATGAAGAGATGTGTACATGAATAGTTGTCTATATGATCAGTCGTGTACATGAAGAGATGTGTACATGAATAGTTGTCTATATGAATAGTCGTGTACATGAAGAGATGTGTACATGAATAGTTGTCTATATGAATAGTTGTGTACACGAATAGATGTGTACATGAATAGTTGTCTATATGAATAGTTGTGTACATGAAGAGATGTGTACATGAATAGTTGTCTATATGAATAGTTGTGTACATAAATAGATGTGTACATGATCAGTCGTGTACATGAAGAGATGTGTACATGAATAGTTGTCTACATGAACAGTCGTGTACATGAAGAGATGTGTACATGAATAGTTGTCTACATGATCAGTCGTGTACATGAATAGATGTGTACATGAATAGTTGTCTACATGAACAGTCGTGTACATGAAGAGATGTGTAAATGAATAGTTGTCTACATGATCAGTCGTGTACATGAAGAGATGTGTACATGAATAGTTGTCTACATGATCAGTCGTGTATATGAAGAGATGTGTACATGAATAGTTGTCTACATGATCAGTCGTGTACACGAAGAGATGTGTACATGAATAGTTGTCTACATGAACAGTCGTGTACATGAAGAGATGTGTAAATGAATAGTTGTCTACATGATCAGTCGTGTACATGAATAGTTGTCTATATGAATAGTTGTCTACATGATCAGTCGTGTACATGAAGAGATGTGTACATGAATAGTTGTCTACATGATCAGTCGTGTACACGAAGAGATGTGTACATGAATAGTTGTCTATATGATCAGTCGTGTACATGAAGAGATGTGTAAATGAATAGTTGTCTACATGATCAGTCGTGTACATGAAGAGATGTGTACATGAATAGTTGTCTACATGAACAGTCGTGTACACGAAGAGATGTGTACATGAATAGTTGTCTATATGAATAGTTGTGTACACGAATAGATGTGTACATGAATAGTTGTCTATATGAATAGTTGTGTACATGAAGAGATGTGTACATGAATAGTTGTCTACATGATCAGTCGTGTACATGAAGAGATGTGTACATGAATAGTTGTCTACATGAACAGTCGTGTACACGAAGAGATGTGGACATGAATAGTTGTCTATATGAATAGTTGTGTACACGAATAGATGTGTA